TTCATCCGCTTATAGAAAAGTGGTTAATGACATTTACTGTCCACACAGGAAAAGTTGTGCCGAGCAGCAACCTAATCCACAGAAGGGTTAATGCTGAGCAGCAATTATGCAAATGAAACCTGGTAACTGACTTTGGGGTCAAAGGCCGGTTACAGCCTATCAGAAAGAAAGGAGGGGTATTTAGGCCCAGTTCTCAGCCTGCTCAGTGCCCTGTCGTGGTTTCCCTTGTGGTTGTCCGAGAGCGCGTTCCTGTTTATAGTTTTCTACCTGGTTTTTGACTTTGGCTTTGTTTATTGACTTCTCTATATTCTGGTATCCTGACTCCTGGCTTTCCTCATCGCTGTGTCCCTTTCTGTGTTCCCTGACCTCGGCTAGTATTTTTGACTATTCTTTGTACGTTAAATCCGGCCATTCTAAGGACCGGTAATACGTTACTTATTTGTCATCCGTGCTGTACAGTTCTACGTGCTGGATCAAACAGTAATCCTGACACACAGATCCCCATCAACAGGTTTAAAAAAACGGCACTCCCACACCTAATGAACGCAGCCCGCAGCCTCATCCCGGGGGACTGGAAACAACGCACGGCCCCGACAATCAGAGAATGGATGACGAGGGTGGAAGACATCAGATGCATCGAGGAGCTCATCCACTCCGCAACGGGATGCATACAACGTTACCACGATGCGTGGTACCAATGGCTCCAATGGCTCGCCTCCGCCGCACCAATTACGGGGGCCACACAACACCTGGCAGTGGAGGCAGACGGGACGGCCCTGACGGAACCGACTGGCGATAATACGGAAGCTGGACCAACGACCCAACCAACCCAAGATGACCACACGGAGCTGGAGATGCCCCGCGTCCCGGAGGCGGGGGGGACTGGGGTGGGGAACCGGGACCTGACACCCCACCCTCCCGCACCCTCCCCCCACCCGCTATATCCTCACCCCATTAACCTACATCCCCATCCCTCCGCCCCCCCCATAACACACACTAAAACACATGACCCACCGCCGACAGGCTGACCTTAAGAACACAACCTACACACGCAGAGACACCCCCTCACTTGCGAGACAGACTACACACCACAGCACTCACAAAAGACCCACCACGACCAGCACGCACCGGATAAGGGATGAACCAACCCAACAAAATTGCCCAAGCGCCCAATACCCAAGAACACTATACCACGATACCAGACACCACCCAACCCTCACAACCCGGAACAGTATCCGCTCGACCGAAACACCCCCGACGCTAACCGGAGCCTTAAACAGACCCCAACAAGACAACACCCTGACGCACGACACCCACACAACCACCGCCTACAAACATTAAAGAACAGCGACTGGCACAGAGGGGACACCCATAGCAAACACACACAGGACAAAACTAACTGACGGACCCTCGACCTCCAAACACCCCACTCCTCGACAACTGCTCCCCGCCCTCCACCCCAACGGATCTTGAACAGGCCTACCTGACAGGGACCACAAGACCGTGTCTCCCTGCTGCCCACACACCCCCTCCACCCACCTCCGCACGCCGTACTCGGCTTGCCAAATCATATAACCTGCGCGACACACCGCCAACAACCCAGGAGCCGCTGAAAACATGACGAGTGGCTGCCTCCTAATACTTACCCCATCCAGCTACCTGGGAATGCACCACATAGCTCAAAATTCCTACTGTATAATCTACAATGCGAACTATGTCCTTGCATAGATCACAACAAAGCTGTACACTTTACTGACCTGTCTAACAAGGCTAGGTGACGTGCCATGAATGCTATTATATTGCCGTTAGATGCTTATCATATATTAACAACAATGTCTGCCTTTACAACTCAATCCCCGAACTGGCCTTCATCTGCTGACGGGTGACATTCAAACATGAATGCTTAAAATTGTTAAACAAATGTCTGAACTATCTGACCGCTGGCAGCAGCAGAAGCCAACGGCCAAATAGGTGAAAAACCTCTGTGTCATTGTCATATTACACTGAGACCTGCGAGTCTCCCGTACACCTTCACTGTAATAATGTTCTACTGTAACTGTAATTACGACTCTATGCCTTAATAAAGTCTTGAAAAGAAAAAAAAAATAAGAGCATGTTTAACGCTCCCTTTGTAGACCATGCTGTTGAAGTTTTTCTAATTTGGTAAAGAAAGATGTTAACAGTGTGATGACTTCTACTTCTGATCGCATGCACCACCCTAGTCTCTTTAATCTCTTTAAAAAGAAAAAATAGCTCTTGATGGATTGAGTAAAAATAAAGATTTAACTATCAAACCTGCAGACAAGGGTGGTGCCATAGTGATACAGAATACAGTTGATTATGTTGATGAAATCCTCAGACAATTATATGGCTTGCTCTCACTGATTGTCACCCCAACATTGCTGAGTTTGCTCAGAAACCTATGTTTGCTTGTAAGAGAGACATAAACTAGTTAAAACTCTTGTTCCCACAGATGATGTTGCCATCACCCACGAAATGACAAGAAAAATCCTATTGGACAATTTCTGACATGCAATTCTGACTTTGTGGTTTATGCACTGAAGTGCCCTTGTGGTCTCTTACGTACGTGGGCCAGACTAGCCAAAAGTTTAAATTCAATGCTTTCCTATGGGGATTCCGGCATGCATAGCGTGAGGAAGTCCAGCGTAGCTGAAAACACTTTTCGTGCTCTAAAAACACGGAAGTCCCGCTAGTGGCTGTCTGATAGACAGCCGCTAAAGGAGGACTTAACCCTGCAAGGTAATTATTGCAGTTTATAAAAACGGCAATAATAACACTTGCAGGGTTAAGGGTGGTGGGAGTTGGCACCCAGCCCACTCCAATGGGCAGAAGTGGTCTGGGTGCCTGGAGTGTCCCTTTGATATTTCGTATATCTGCTATCGACCATACACATGCAGATATTGATCTCCGTTCTGCAGATTGCCTGGAGACGCATGCGCAAGCTAATTGTAGATTTGAATTATTTGTTCTTGCTCTCGTGCGCATGCAATCGTACAAATGTCTTTTGCCTTTTCTTTATTAATGTTTTTTTTAGATTGTGCTTGAGCCGTTCCAATGCGTTCCAGAGTACAGGAAATGCTCTTTTGCGTTCCACTTAACCGGAAGTTAGCCTTTGGTGCTTCGGTAAGCGTTCTTTTTGAATTTTTTTTTTTTGTAAATATGTTTTTATTGAACATTTAGTTTTTTTGTTTTTTTCCGTTTGTTATCAACATGGAACAGGAAAACATGGACACGCAGGTCCCTTTGGTCATTTGTACATGCTTATACATCGTAGGGCATAGTCTGTCAGACGTGTCTTGGCGACTCGCTTTCTTGAGTAAGTGGTGTGTGCATTGTGGCCTTGCGGGTCCGGTAGTACATAGTTACGAATAGTACTCTGTTATATCTGATGTGTACCTTTTCTACGTTGGGTAGTTTTGTATGTCCCGTCAATGTTTGTCTATTCCCCTGTCCCCTCCCTGTAGCCACCATGCAGTAGTGGGACATGTGGGAAACCTACTGTGTAGGGTCCTATCAGGACATGCAGCCCCCTTGCGACCTCGTGTCTAGGGTCTAGAATGGTGGTATAGTGGGGTGTTGTCCCCCTACTTTGGTACAATTCGGCTCTGCCCAGCGTTATACATGGTGTTGATGGGAATAACCTAAGGAGCATCCTGCGATTCCTTCTAAACTAATAAAATTTGTAGCTCACGAAACTGGCGCTCTTCCACCCCCCGTACCCGCGGGGCCATAGGCCGTTTTGGGCACCGCAGGTCGTTTTGGGCACCCCGACAGGTATCATAGCCCCCCAGCACACCCCTGAGGGGTCGGTCCCCCGCGCCGCACCCCCGAGCCCGCGCTCCACCCGGACCTGACAGGGGGTGGGGTAGGGTAGGGGAATGAGGTACTGCGTCTTGGGCCAGGTGTGGGTCGTCCCGTTAGGCTCCTGGTGTCTCCTCCTGGGGGTCGTCAGTTCCTCCCTCCATGGTCAAATGCACAGTCCTAAATGCCTCCGTACCCACCCGTGCCAGCCAGGGTGTCCATGTGTCTAAGTATGTCTGCATTTGGTCTTGGGCTGAATACCAGATTTCCTCTGTTACTCGTAACTCCTCCATTCTAGTAAACCACAGGGAAAGCGTTGGGGTTGTGTCTTTTTTCCAGTACAAAGGTATTAGGTGTTTTGCGACATTAAGAATTCGGATGGTCAGGGAGTGTTTGTATCGTGGTGTGGGGGTTGTCGTCTGGTACAGGAGCTACAGGGCGGGCTGGAAGGGTGGGACATTGTCCGTGAACAGGGCCACCATGGCAGCTATTTTCTCCCAGAACTGTACTATGAGTGGGCAATCCCACCATATGTGGAGGAAGGATCCTACCCCTCTCTTGCACCTAAAGCAGAGGCCGTCCATGTCTAAGTGCATTCTCTGTAAGCTTTCTGGTGTCAAGTACCATTGTGTGAGGACCTTGTAGGCCGTTTCCTGCGTTTTGCTAGCAATTGCGCAGTGGTGCACTAGGTCGCAGATCTTGTGCCACTGCGTCTCGGTGAGTGTTTCTCCTACGGCAGTCTCCCATTTGGACATGAAGGGGGGTGGGGGTTGTCCCTGTTGTCGTTGTAGCATAGAGTAGAGGTGGGAAATGCTATGGGGCATGGGCTCCGGGTCCTGGCACAACTGTTCGAATTGCATGAGGTCCCTATATACGTCGGGGTGTTGTGGTATGGCGGTGATGTAGTTCTTAATTTGGGTGTATCTAAATGTCGTCATGAAGGGGTGGTTGGGTGTGCCCGTGAGCGTCTGTAGGGGCAAGATTTTCCCATTGGCAGTCATGTCTCGGAGTCTGGGTATGTTTTGTGGGAGGACGCAGGTTTCCTGGTCTTACCCTCGGTTCAAAGTCCGGGTTGTACACCAGAGGTAGCAGTGGGGATGGGAAGGAGGAGAGGCGTAGTTTCCTCGCTTGTGTGTGCCATATGGTTAAAGTGGCGGTGATGAAGGGTTGTTGGTAGACTAACCGCCGACCCATCGGGGGGTCCAGCCACAGAAGGGCTGAAAGGGGCCTGCCTGCGTGGTGGGTTTCGATGGCCTTCCAGGGTTTGCTAATCCCCTCTTTTGCCCATTCCAGGGCCCGTTGCATGTGGCATGCTTGGTAGTACAGTTTGAGGTCAGGAACGGCCAGGCCTCCTGCTGTTTTGGGGAGTGTGAGTTGTGTGTACTTGAGTCTGGGTTTAGTGCCCTTCCAGATAAATTTAATGAGGAGGGTGCGGAGTGCTGCGAAGAAGGTGGTAGGGAGTGGGATTGGTAGTGTCTGGAATAGGTAGAGTACCCAAGGGAGAATGTTCATTTTGGCAATGGCAACCCTGCCAAGCCAGGAAAAGTGAGGTGTGGCCCATTCTGTCAGATTCTTCCGTATGGTTCCCAGCAGTGGGGTGAAGTTCATATGGTATAGTTTCGATAGGTCGGCCGTGCGCTTCACCCCTAAGTATTTAATAGCTGTGTCCCGCCATTGGAAGGGGAAGGTCCGTCGGATTTGGTCTGCCTTCCTCTGGGGGGGAGCCAATATTGAGGATAGAGGATTTAGCATAATTGATCTTGAGGTTGGCGATTTCTTAAACTCTGCCATGAGGTTTGGGAGGGAGATTTCTGGGTTAGTGATGAAGAATAGCATATCGTCCGCATATGCTACGATTTTGTGGTGGTCTGTCTCCACTGTCACCCCCGAGATATCTGGGTTATCCCTTACCGCTTGTAGGAAGGGCTCCAGGGCCAAGATAAATAAAAGCGGCAACAGAGGGCAGCCCTGCCTGGTTCCGTTCCTGATCGGGAATGCATCCTTATAGACCCCGTTTATGCACACCCTGGCCGTGGGGGATGAGTAAAGAGATTCTATCCACTGGCTCATATGGGTCCCCAGGCCGACATGTTCCAGTACCGAGAATAGATAGTCCCATGCCACCCTATCGAAGGCCTTCTCCGCATCCGTAGAGATGTGCGAGGTGCGCTGCGCGTGGTGGATCAGGGAGAGGGCCCGGAACGTATTATCTCTGGCTTCCCTGTGGGGGACGAAGCCCACTTGGTCAGGAGAGATTAAGTCTGGTATGTGTGGGTTCAACCTTGTAGCTAGTATTTTAGCGAACAGGCATAAGTCGCAGTTAAGTAGTGATATAGGTCGATAGCCCGTACACCGTTCGTTATCTCCCCCTCCTTTGGCAACAGGACAATGTTGGCTGCCAGTGTTTGCTGGAGGATGGTATGTCCCTCTGTTATGGAGTTGAAGGCCGAGACATATCGGGGGGACAGTGTGGTCAGGAAGGATTTGTAGTATTTGAGGGGGAGGCAGTCTGGGCCCGGGCTTTTGCCTGTCTTTGAGGTTTTGATGGCCAGGGCCAATTCCCCCTCCGTCAGGGGTGCGTCCATGGCCTCCGCTGCGTCTGGGGAGAGTTTGGTTTTGGTGTATTTAGTGAGGTATGCGTTCATGCGGGTCGCTCCCAAGCTCGGGTCTGCTCGAGGGGCGTGGGAGGGGATCGCGTAAAAGTCTGTGTAGAAGCGAGTTATAGCTGTAGCGATTTGGTGTGGCATGTGGTGTAGTTGGCCTGCGGCATCGCGCATGCGTGCAATGTATGTCATGGAGCGTTTTTTATTGATCATTCTGGCCAACAACCTGCCACACCTGTCTCCTTCTGTATAGAAAAAGGATTTAGTGCGCTGGAGGGCCCTAGTGTACGATTGCCGCAGGACCCGTGCTAGTTCTTCACGGGCTGCTGTGAGTTCCCCGAGAAGTGTGTCGTCTAGTGTTCGTTTGTGGGCCTGTGTTAGGGTCCCTATCTTGGCAGTTAGTTCTTGGATCGTATGTTCTCGTGCCTTTTTCAGGGCAGAGGAGTGTGAGATAAGGATCCCTCTAATCACACACTTGTGGGCCTCCCATGTCAAGAGGGGGGATGTGTCCTGTGGTAAGTTCTCGGCGAAGTAATTCGTCAGGGCTTGTTGTATATCTCGGGCCACCTGCGGGTTGGATAGAAGGCTTTCGTGGAGCCTCCATGACGTGGTTTTGGGTTTGCATAGTGGCGATGTGAGTTGAATTGTGAGTGGTGCGTGGTCGGACCACATTGTCCCCCCTATGGCTGAGTCACGCAATCTGGGTAGGTGGTAATATGGAAGGAAGAAGTAGTCGATGCGTGTGTAACAGTTCATTCGGGGTCGAATAGAAGGTGTAGTCCCTAGCCGTCGGGTGTGTCGCCCTCCAGCAATCCATAAGCCTGTACTGAAGTGGAGAAGTTTACGAATTTTGAGCTGTGTGTGGGGGGGGTGTCGATGAGTGGCCCCTGGAAGCGTCCATCGTTGGGTGTAAGGCGATGTTGAAGTCCCCTCCCAGGACCAGACAGCCTGTCGTGAAGTCGTGCAGGGCCCGGAGTGTGTCCCGAAGGAATTTATCCTGTCGCGTGTTTGGGGCATAGATGTTGGCAAAGGTATAGGTTTCGTCCAGGATTTTACCCCTAACAAATACATATCTGCCCGAATTATCCATCATGGTCGAGTCAGCTACGAAGGGTATGGATTTGTGTAGGAGTATTGCTGTCCCCTTAGATTTCCCGTCCGGGTTATTGCTGTAGAAGCCTTGGGTGTATATGTGGTTACAGAGTTTCGGAGCGGAGTCGGTTTTAAAGTGGGTTTCTTGGAGATAGACCACATGGGCTCTAGTTTTCTGGCAGAGGCGTAGTGCGTGTGACCTCTTTTCGGGGGAGTTTAAGCCCTTTGCGTTTAGGGATAGGGAGGTGAGTGGGGCTGGTGCGTATTTGGGTGCAAGTGTAGCCATATTGTCAAGTTCCCCGAGTGTCTGAGTCGCCCCAGTCTGTGGGGGCAGGTGAGGGCCTAGGTAGGTAGAGCCCGGTCTAGGGCAGGCAGGGTGGAGCTGGGTAGTGGGTATCCCCGTGCGGCGGGGCACGGAGGGGACCGCCCCTGTAATGGAGCAGAGGCACCGGCATCAGGGGGGTAGAAATCCACCGGCCCGGAGACCGGTACGACCCCCCCTATACAGAAGACACCGACCTCACGGGGAGTGGAAGGCGCCTTGTCAATCAGCCAACAGAGGTGGCTGTGGATCACAACAAACACTAACAATTGTAACTCAAACTTGTGATACACTTCTGTCGCGTCTCCGGGGCGAGTCTCCCAGGGTATGGTCGGGTTCCACCCGGAACTATGACCTCTTGGTGATACCTTTGTGTGTCTGCGGGAACTCACCCCCAGGTCCCGACATTGTCTAGTCTGAGGGGAAGGTATACGAGCCGACCCAGGGCTTAACCCACTTACTACAGCTTATATGTCTAGGATACTGATAGACCCCATCCCCACCCAGCCCCTTCCCCCATGTGCACCAGTGTGGCCCCGTGGTGCCGTTCCTCTCTCCCTGAAAGCTGTATGGAGGGACCGTGTCCTCCCCGAGGGCACCCCAATTAATGGACCCCTATTGGGTTCCCCCATCTGTGTGGTGGTGGGTGGTGTTGCTCTGGGGTCAGCCCATCTCTGGTCTGTGTGTGCGGGTGCTTACGCAATCTTATATACAAAGCTGTACCCCAGTGTAGCCTATTCTGGCACCTAGCCAGTGTTGCATACGAACCAATAGACATTTTGAACTTGCGCCAGTGCATAACCCGTGATATAAATAGTGGACAAGTTTAGCATGTGTAGGAGGCAATTCTAGCATAAACAGGCGTGTACCCCATATTATACAAAGATAAAGCAAGTAAAGATAATAATGGAGCAAGTCCAGAAGGAATCCTACAAATAAAGGGACCAGATAATAGCTCCTAAGAAAGACATACCATGTTATATACAATGCGATGGACAATTTGAGCATGTGCGGGCGTGTATGCAAGGTTACATACCGACCATGGAGCAATTTGAGCATGCGCAGGCACGTATACAGCGGTCAATGCAATGCCGTAGGCAATTTAAGCATGTGTGGGCGCCTATGCCATGTTATATGCCCTGCAGTGGGCAGTTTTAGTATGTGCGGGCGCATATGCACTAACATCTATTTTATAGAATCTATACTTTTCTGTGGTCACCTCCAAAGGGGCCTCTGAAACGGGGGGCTGAGAGGGGTGCTCATCCTAAATGGGAATCAGATTTCATACTTAAAAAAAAAAAAATTATAATAATAGAAGAGGTATTGTGGGAACATCCAGAACATGCATTTTTGTATATAATCTTAATTTGCAGATAATTTATGACTTAAAGACAAATTAAGGCGATTGAATTAAAAATGCAGTTATCTTTAAAGGTAAATATATATATTTTACCACAATATAAACAGCAAACCTCTAGTAGGGGCTGGACTGTAGGTGGCCAAGGACCCTTAAGTAGTGTTAAACTGCCTGAAGATGGTTTAATACTGAATGGAGGGACAGTGCCATGGGACTCCATGCACCATAACCAATTCAGTGAGATTAAATGGTTACAGTGCCTACAGTCGTTTTATTTTGTGAGGGACCAATCACACTTCTCTGGTTAAATGGGTGCATTACGGAGTCCAATACAAACCCCCAGAAATGTTTGGTATAATATTTAATGATTATATATGTCAATGCTGCAGGAGAAAGACTTTTCCTAGCTAGCAAAGACACTGGAATAGGAAAATAAAATGACTGATGAGGCACAGTTAGGAATATTTTGGCCAGAAAACCAGCTTTAAAAGGAAATGCAACACTTTTTCGACATATTGCCCAATTTGTCCTAATCCAGAGACCCTACACTTGGTGATGCTATTAATCTCCCATTAACCCCTCCTACTATGTTAGGTAGACCCATGCTTGGAGAACATTTCTTGGAACGTTCACCTTGGCTGGCCCTGGTGGGCTGCAGCTTGGACACTTTAAACTCAAAACCATTTGAGATGCACACATTGTTAAAGCTACTTTATCCTCTCACGTCTTGATCACGTTTCCTCTTCATGTCAATGACTTTAGCCAGATATGATCTTCTTATTACTTTGCTGGCAAAACATACCTTAGAGGAAATATGAGGCTTCAACAAGACCACCCAGTTTGAATAGATACTTTCATTTCTTAGATTTTAAAGTATTTGTCTTTTGTATTTTTTTTCCCTTTTCTATGGTTACACCAAATAGTTTCACACTGCTTTCATTGTATTTTGTATAGTTCTTAGATTTTTCAATACAAAGTGATAGCCCAAAACTATCATGAAATTCTTCTTGCACCAGGGGCGTTGTTCTTTACACCCCTG